GGGTTGCAGTGCAGGGGAAGTACTGGGAGGGTGTCAAAACCAGCCCAAACGGGGAAATCATGGCCTTGAGACCCCTCTGCTCTTTGTCCTTGCTGTTGCTTGTGGCTTGGGGGACACCCAGTCCTCATCCCAGGCACCCTCACCACAGGGATCCTCACGGTCTCACCCTGCCACCCCTTCCAGCTTCCCTTCCCTGCCCAGCCTCCTCATTTCCCAGGAAAAAGCAGGTTAAAATAGCCCCCTTAAGTTGCTTTTGGTTTTGTTTTTTTTTTTCCCACAGGAGCCCACACTCCCTGCTGTGTTAGGCGCAATGAGCGCAGCGGGGCTTGGCTGACCCCCAGCAAAACGGATGCTGACTGGGGTTGGAAGCGGGACAGGAGGCAAAACCGCCGGTAAGCAACCCGGGGTGGTAAAGGAGGGTTTTCTCCTTGCCAAAGAGAGAGACATTTGTGGCAGCGGATGGATAATTTGATTTGTACAAGGTTGGAGGAGAGGTGGAGGTTGAGTGGCGCCAGGAGAGCCACGTGGACTGAGCTGTGTGTATATAGGCGGATGCCTACATATATATTTATTTTTTTTTTTTAACGTGTTGATAAAGCTGTCTGTTAGCTTTATCCGTGACCACCGCCCTAACTATGCCAAGGACAGCAGACAAATCAACAGGACCAAGTCCTGCAGCGCCCAAAGATTGCAGGAACCCCCTGGGGTCTCAGCCCCCTCCCATCTGCGCCAACGGGGGCAGCTCCTTACCTCCCTGCAGACAGACAGACGGACGCACGCTGTGCCCCTCTCCCCCGCTCTGCTGTCCCCAGCTCCCGCTCTGTCCCCGTCCCCGGGGCTTCATGAATACTGCAGGAACGCGGCAGCGTTGCCTTTCAGACGCTCCCGGTAACAGGGAGAAACAATCCGGCAGATTAAATTCTCACCCCCTATTTCCAGCACCCCCTTCGCCTGTTGAACAAAGGCTCCGGGGTCCCTTCCTGGGTCTTGCAGGGCCCGGTGGGGGCCCGGGGTGAATGGGGGAGCGCAGAGGAGCATTCACCCCCAAAATGCAGCGGGAGCCAGGTCCTCCCCAGCCCGCGAGATAATTCAGAGCTGGCCCTTGGCTTGTTTTGGACTAAACCAGGGAAAACTCTTTGAAACGGCGACGCTGTGGGCTTTGAACTGAGCCGCCCATTTGGCTCTTACGAAACAGCCTCGCAAGAAGCCCCGAAACAGTTCACGCACCGCAGAAATCCCCCCACTCCCTCGGGTTTCTTTATTCCCCCCCCCCAAGAGGAAGAAGGGTCACCTGGAAAAAGAGGATTATTATATGGGAAGGTTTTACCCCCCCTGCGTGTGCCCCCGGGCTGGCACAGGGGTTTTTTTTTCCGGTGATTTTTTGACAAAGGCAGAGTTTTGGGGTCCTGCCAGTGCCCGGGGGAGCAGAAGGGGGGATAAGGGGGATGAGGTGTCTGGGGCCGCCCCGTCCTGGGGTGCAGTGGTGGCCCCAT